CATGCAACATGATTGTATTGTCCTGGCTGATGAACACTCTTAGTAATGATCTACTCAATGGAATCGTGTATGCAACTACTGCATTTTCAGTTTGAGCAGATTTGAAAGAGCGATTTGACAAGGTGAACAGAATGAGGATCTATCAGCTGCATAGGGAACTCACCACACTCACTCAAGGTACAGATTCTGTATCACATTATTTTACTAAATTGAAAACATTATGGAGTGAATATAATGTTGTGATACCAAATCCTTGTTGTACATATCCTCAATCGAAAGATTATGCTAATCATCTGCAGCAACAGAGGTTAATTCAGTTTTTAAGTAGTTTAAATGACTCTTATGATCAAGCTAGGAGACAGATCTTGTTGAAAGGAACTACTACTTCCATTAATCAGCCTTATGCTATGGTTATTGAAGACAAGATTCAGCATTCATCAGTTGTTGTTAATGTAGTAGAGAAACCGGAATCAATAGCACTTAATGTGAACAAAAATCAAGGAAGAGAGTATTACAAAGGGAAGAGATGTGATTTTTGTCATTTCACTGGTCATACTAAGGAGAATTGCTACAAGTTGATTGGTTACCTAGATGATTGGAAGCAAAGGAGAAAGTCAGGATCAAGCTATGGAAATGGCAACACACGCAGTGCATCAAAATCTACCTATGGAGGTGGTTATGGTAGACAGTCCTCTACTAACAATGTGAATTTGAGAAATGCAGGAAACTCTAATGACTATGGAAGGCAGAACTCAACAAACAATGCATCTGGTAGCCATTGCGATTACTCTCAAGGGACTTTCACTAATCAAGATGAGAGCAGGGCTTTCTTGGCAAAAGGTCATGCATTCACAGATCATGAATACAAGCATATACTAAACGTGTTAAACAAAGAAGGACAGGACTCTAAGCAGGTCAACATGGCAAGCATAACTACTTGTTTAATGTCAAATAACTTCACTCATGATTGGATCATAGACTCTGGTGCAACTCATCACATTATAGCAGACAATCATTCACTCACAAAAAGTCAGGTGTTAGCTAAATGATAAAAGAACCATGTACACTTGACTACAGGAGACAAGGTAGAAATTAGTCACATTGGTGAGGCATCTGTGTTTGATAACAAGATAGTGAAGAATATTCTACATGTTCCAGACTTCAAATTCAGCTTATTATCAGTTTCAAAAATCACAAGGGAATTGTCTTGTTTTGTATCATTCTATCCTGACTTTTGTGTGTTTCAGAACCTCTTCAGTGGCAAGGTGAAGGGGATTGGTAAAGAAGATGGAGGTTTATACATGTTCAAGGGTAAAATTCCACCACCACACAAGCAAGAAGTTACATGTCAAAAGAAAGTGATTACTGCAGGAGCAATAGTCAAATGTGTTGATTTGTGGCATAGGAGGCTTGGACATCCTTCTGTTAAAGTCCTAAAGATTGTAAAGCTAGTTTATAACAATAAAGACAGTGAAGTCCTTTCTAAATGTTCAATTTGTCCATTAGCTAAGCAAACTAGACTTGCATTCCCTATCAGTAGCTCTAGAGCAATCTGTAAGTTTTGATGTTGTTCACATGGATTTTTGGGGGGCCTATAAGACCCCTACTATGGATAAGAAACACTATTTTCTAACAATTGTAAATGACTATAGTAGGGTTGTATGGACCTACCTGTTGCAATTGAATTCTGAAACCATTGTTGTCATAAAAAAATTCCTATTAATGGTCAAGATTCAATTTGATCCTCATGTTAAAGTTGTGAGGTCTGATAATGGTACTGAGTTCTTTAACTCTCAGAGTACAAAGTTATTTCAGGAGCTAAGTATTCTACACTAAAGTAGTTGTCCTCACACACCTCAACAAAATGGTGTGGTAAAGAGGAAACACAGACACATTCTCAACATTACTAGAGCTATTAGATTCCAATCACATTTACCTATTAGATTTTGGGGCGACAATATTAAGGTTGTTGTCTACTTAATGAACAGGTTACCTTCGTCTGCCATTAAGAACAAAAGTCCTTATGAAATGCTTTATGCCAAACAGCCTTCTATCACTCATTTAAGGACATTTGGATGTCTTTGTCACGCCTTAGTATTGCAAAAAGGTTATAAGTTTGCAGAAAGATTTGTCGCTGCTATTCTCATAGGATATTCAGAGCTTCAAAAGAGATATATATTGCTGGACATTAAATACAATAAGATCTTTGTACATAGAGATGTGATTTTTCAGAAAGATTTTTTCCCTTTTGCACAAGTGATGCCACAGACACAACCACCATTCACTGTTTTTAACTCTCCTTTAGAGTTGGATAATTGTTTCAATCTAAATAATGGAGATACTCATACTGATACTGCTAGGGATCCTCTTATTGAAGACAGTGTTGTGTTGGACAGTGAGAATGCTCAGCATGCTAGTGAGATTTCAAAAGAATTCACTTGTGAGAATTTTTCATTACAAGTTGTTTCTGATCAGACTCCTATTGTGCCTACAGATCCTTCCCTGAGAAGGACCACAAGAAGCACTAAAGAGCTTACTTGGATGAAAGATTATACTATTGTTGGCAAGAAGCAAAGTAGTACTAGGCATCTTTTGATTAATTATCTATGTTATGACAGCTTAACACCATCTTATAGAGGCTATCTAAGTAAAGTGTCTGATTATGTGGAGCCCAAACACTTCAGACAAGCAGTCAAAGATGATAGATGGATACATGCCATGAAGCAAGAGATATAGGCTCTTGAAGATAACAAAACTTGGATGGTAGTTGATGTACCACCAGGGATGCATACAGTGGGATCTAAATGGGTGTATAAGGTGAATTATAGAGCAAATGGTGAGGTGGAAAGGTTCAAGGCCAGGCTAGTTGCTAAAGGATATAGTCAGCAAGAAGGATTGGACTATCATGATACTTTTTCCCCAGTTGCAAAGATGGTAACAGTTAGATGTGCGATTGCTCTAGCAATGTCTAAGGGTTGGAATCTCTATCAAATGGATGTCTACAATGCATTTCTCCAAGGTGATCTAGATAAGAAGGTATATGTGGAGATGCCTGAAGGTTTCAAAAAGCCAGGGGAGACAAAAGTTTGCAAGTTACTTAAGTCATTATATGGGCTTAAACAAGCCTCTAGACAATGGAACTTAAAACTACTACTATCTTGTTGTCTGTTTGGTTTCAATCATAGTGCACATGATTATTCTTTTTTTACTCTCAAGAAAAATGAAGGACTTGTCATTGTCCTAGTTTATGTTGATGATTTATTAATCACATGTACCAATGCTTAGCTGATCACAGCAGCCAAGGAGTATCTACATCAACAATTCAAGTTAAAAGATCTAGGGGAACTCAGATATTTTTTGGGAATTAAGTGTTAAGATCCTCTAAAGGAGTTGTTTTGAATCAAAGGAAGTATGTTTTAGAACTTATTGTTGATGCAGGGCTCACTGGTGCTAAACCTGCTCTCACTCCTCTTGAATCAAACCTAAGACTCACCTCAGTGGAATATGATTTGGTGAATGGGGTTACTGGAGATGAGGTCCTTCATGACATTACAACTTAGTTGGAAAGCTTCTTTATGCCAATATCACTAGACCTGACATTAGCTATGTAGTACAAACTCTCAGTTAGTTCATATAGTCTCCTAAAAGGTCGCATTGGGAAGCAACTATAAGAGTAGTAAGATACTTGAAGGGCACAGTAGGCCAAGGTGTTTGGTTGCAAGCTAACCCTACCACTATGTTAACTTGTTGGTGTGACTCTGATTGGGCTAGTTGTCCAAATACTACAAGGTCTATTACAGGTTATGTGGTGAAGTTTGGTGATTCCTTGGTGTCCTGGAAATCTAAGAAACAACAAACTATCTCTAGGAGCTCAATTGAGGCCGAATACAAGAGCATGGCTTCAGCTGTATCTGAGATCACATAGTTGTTGGGGCTATTTACTAAGTTAAGAGTTCCTATTCATGTGCCTATGACTCTTTTTAGTGACAGTAAGTCAGCCATTCAGCTTGCAGCTAATCCAGTCTTCCATGAAAGGACTAAGCATATTGAAATTGACTGCCATTTTATCAGAGACAAGATCAAAGCACGGGTGATAGCCACTGTACATGTTCCTACTCAACATCAAGTTGCAGACCTATTGACCAAAGGCTTGACTCAAGCTCAACATTTGCATCTTCTCAGCAAGCTTGGTGTGCTTAATGTCATGAACCCTTCAGTTTGAGGGGGTGTGTTCAAATACAAATTAGTTCATTAGTTAGTTAACTAGTTAACACTGTTAGTTAACATTGTTCATTAGTTAGTTAACATTGTTTACATTTCCACTCGGATTAGTTGGTTGATGAGCCTGTTACTCAATTATGAGCTGTCAATAATTAGTTAGTTTTTTATCTCAATTCCTAGCTATAAAAGCACAAGTTGAGAGTCGCACTTTGTATGTTGTTGCAGTTAAACATCAATAAAATTCTCTCTTTTCTTCTACATTCAGTTTTCTGTCCAGATTTATCAATGAACTGATGAGCTCATTAACTCACAGTTTTTGACACATTTAGAACTCTTCACAATTTTATTGTGCAGTTCGAAAAGACAACACCGAAACTTTTGGATGCAATAAGAAAAGTTAGAGAAGAGCTTCAACAAGGTTTAAATTTTAACAAAAAAATAAAACACAACAGTATCATGTTTCACTAAATTGTCTTAGATATATTTGTACTTTTAACGAATTATTAATTTATAATATTAATGGGACCATATATTCATATAGAGGTCTTCTGACAATATATTATCTTATCATCCTATCGAAATGAGTAACCGAGAAAAATATTATCTTAGAGAGGTTATTAATTAACCGAGTATTAATTTAATAACATTTAATTGTACTAGCTAGTATAGTGCTTGTGTGATGTGAATTGTTTCAACGGATGGCTCAAACTCCTCTCAGAAATCCACAAATTTGGTCTTACAGATCAAGATATAACCATAAACCATAGTACTAACAAATATGAAAATCAAACAAACATTATTTTTCAAATCTTCTCATTAAAAAACTCAACTAGCCTTTTCATCAATAGACCAGCCTTCTCACAATTTGGTTCAAGCAAATGAAAAACATGATCCTCCCCTTGTGTCTCCATAATCTCAACCTCACCATTCCATCCACTCTTCTTCAATGCATCATAATAAGTCAAACTCCTCTCTCTTAGAAAATCCTTTTCCGCAGTAAAAACTATAACCTTTCGACAAATAAGACTTGATAGTAACCTAAGATGAGCCGCTGGATTCAACCTCGGAACATCGAGCCCTTCACACTCTGGAAAAACAAACGAACAATACTTATCAACTTCATAGTTACCGAAAAATGGATGGATTAATGCTATTCCAGCAATCTTAAAACTTTCCCCTAGTGGCTTTTCACTAGCACTTGCTCGAACCACCATGTCATGTACAATATTTGCACCCGCACTCTCACTAGCCAAGAAAACACGTGAGAAATCGACGTGATCCTTGAGCCATGGCTCCATAACTGTTTCTTCTGTTAATATGAAATGATCACACATTTCAACATGTAAAGATGTCCATCTAATGACGGACCAAGAATCATCATAACACGTTGGTAAAAGGTGTTCTGGAGCTAGTCTATAATTAACGGATAGTGCCACCACATTGGCCTTAGTAACTATAGATTGTAGGTACTTATCATGCCCTGATGAAAAAGTTGATTCTATTGAAAAACCTCCACCATGGATGTACATAAGGAGAGGAAACTTTTGTTTTTTTCCGGTTATTTTGGGAAGATAAAGGCGGGCTGAATTATTATTGACATCTTTAGATCGAACGCCAGTATTACAATTATCTGATGGATGGGCATAGACATAGTTATGAAATCTTTCGACTCTGCCATCTTTGGAGACACGAAAGAAAAGGGGAAAATCATGGGCTATTTCATTTGTTGGCAATGAAACTATGCTTTGATATTAAAGCTTGAGAGTATAAGTAGAATTCCCACTATATATAGGCACTGTGGGTGGACTCCAACACAGGTCTTACGAGTGGATCTTCTAGCTTGTACCAACAACACAATGACACTCCTATGCTTTTCATAGGTGCACTATTAATTATATCCTAATTTATGTCAGTATACATATATATATATATATATAAAAAAAAGGTGTGAATGTGAAATAAAAAGTGAAAATGGAAAAAATGAGGGAACCAATTTGGACGAAAAATGAAAAGTCATTCCAAATGAAAAGTCTTTGAAGATGCAAAGTCATTTCTCCCATATTGGTAGAAGAAAGAAAAATTGTTGTCCTTATATTATGAAACACTTCCTTTGGTTCTTAAAGGGTTAAGAAGAAGGTGCCCTATCGTGTCATCGTCGCTCGCTCGGCCGCGACTTTGGCTTTGGCAAATGATTGATTGATAATATTTTTAGACAAAATTTATTTTATCAATCTCATTAATTGATTTCCTTTCTCTTATAAATTAATTCAGAAAGTTAGTTAATTAACAAAATTAATTTCGCGTAACGGAATTACAAAATGGTAAAGTCTTCTGAAGGGATTTGTTCCTTTCGAAAAAACGTTATTTTTCCCAAAAGACACAACGTTCTGGAAGGACATGTCTGAACAGAAGCGTTCACACCATTGTCCAAACAGACGCGTTCCTTGCTGGAAGTGGCTGTAAATTGAGAGTTCTTTTTCGTTTTTTAGATACTTGAAATTTTTCCTCTCTGCATACATTTTCTTACAAAAAAACAAAAAATGTCGATCGACTGAGTCTGTGTGTGCTCTCGTTGTTGTTCTTGCGTTCACTGAAATTAGTGAAGTTTGAGGTACCACTACTTCTCTAACAGTTAATCTATTTTATCTTGGGAGGAATTAATCTGTAACCTCGGGTACTTGAGGGGATTAAATATTTTAAGGAAACACAATGGGTTTTGTGGATTCGAATTATTATTTTCTGTTTGTTTCATCTATTTTTTGTTTATATTTTTCCTAACTTGAATACAGGAGATAACAAGCTTAAGAAATTTAATTGGTTTCTGGAGATCAAAACCTTTATAGTTTTCTACTCTGTATGAATTTTTAAAATTCATTCGATTAACGATTAAAAGAACATAAAACTTTATCGTTAAATCAGAAACAGGCTGTGTAAGGATTTACTCTTTACTGTTAGTATTTCACATACTAAATTGTCTGTCATTCGTGATAGAAAAATGACAAATTCAAGTCAAGTAAATGTTGAAACAATGAGTACTGCAACAACATCGGTTGCACACAATTGTTCAATTGATGCCCTTACACCGGCTGAGAAACCTGCAAAGTTTTTTGGAGTTGACTTCAAGAGATGGCAGCAGAAGATATTCTTCTATTTGACTACGTTAAGTCTGCAGAGGTTCATTAGTGAGAACATTCATGTTCTGTCGGATGAAACACCGGCCGAAGAACGATTCTTGGTGACAGAAGCATGGACACATTCAGATTTTTTGTGTAAAAACTATATTCTGAGTGGCCTGCAAGATGATCTGTACAATGTGTACAGTGGTGTCAAGACCTCAAAAGAACTCTTGGATGCTTTAGAAAAGAAGTACAAAACAGAGGATGCCAAAATAAAGAAGTTCATTGTGGCAAAGTTTTTGGACTATAAGATGATAGACAGTAAGACCGCCGTCACCCAAGAACAGCATGTCATAATCCACGATCTTGTTGCTGAAGGTATAAATTTATTTAATGCCTATGTTGAACATATTAAGTTTATTCTGAATACTCACATAATCTTTAATGTAGGATTGATTGTGAATGATGTTTTTCAAGTGTCGGCCATTATTGAGAAGTTACCTCTATTGTGGAAGGACTTCAAAAACTACTTGAAACATGAACGAAAAGAGATGACTGTTGAAGATCTCATGGTAAGGCTGAGAATCGAAGAGGATAACAAGGCCGCAGAAAAGAGGTCACGTGGTAGTTCAACAATATCTAGAGTAAATATTGTTGAAGAAGACCCCTCAAAATCAAAGAAAAGAAAGAAAGCATCTAGTCTAAAGAGCAATCCTCCTAAGAAGAAATTCAATGGAAATTGCTTCAATTGTGGCAAAAGTGGTCATAGGGCTACTGAATGTCGGGGTCCCAAGAAGGAGAAAAAGAAGGATCAAGCAAATTTGGTTGAATCCAAAGAAGAAATGGACAATCTCTGTGCAATGCTTTCCGAATGTAACTTGGTTGGAAATCCAAGAGAATGGTGGATAGATTCTGGTGCCTCAAGCCATGTTTGTGCCAACAAAGAATTATCCTATACTCCAGCACCAGCAGACGAGAAGCTATTTATGGTGAACTCCGCTGCTGCAAAGGTTGATAGAACTGGCAAGGTCCACTTAAAGATGACTTCGAGCAAGGTGGTGACTTTGAACAGGGTCATGTATGTTCCGAAATTGCAAAAGAACTTAGTTTCTATACTAGTTCTTATCAAAAATGGATTCAAATGTGTATTTGTTTCTGATAAAGTTGTAGTAAGTAAGAATGAGATGTATGTAGGAAAAGGTTACCTCACTGAGGGCCTCTTCAAACTCAATGTAATTGCAGCTGATATGAATAAAGATTCTGCTTCTTCTTACTTGCTTGAGTTTAAATGTTTATGGCATGAACGTTTGGGACACATCAATAACAAAACCTTGCGAAAACTGATTAACTTAAATGTTTTGCCTAAATTTGAGTGCAATAAATCAAAATGTCAAGTTTGCGTTGAATCTAAGTATGTTAAGCATCCTTATAAATCTGTTGAAAGGAATTCATACCCCTTAGAATTGATTCACAATGACATTTGTGATATGAAGTCAACACCATCACGTGGTGGAAAAAAGTATTTCATAACTTTTATTGACGATTGCACCATATACTATTATGTCTATTTACTAAATAGTAAGGATGGAGCAATAGATGCATTTAGGCAATATAAAACTGAAGTTGAAAATCAGTTGGATAAAAAGATCAAAAAGATCAAAAGTGATAGAGGTGGAGAATATGAATCTCCATTTGTAGAAATATGTTTGGAAAATAGAATCATTCATCAAATTAATGCTCCTTACTCTCCTCAATCTAATGAAATTGAGGAAAGGAAAAATCAAACTTTAAAGGAAATGATGAATGTCTTACTTATAAGTTCAGGTTTACCACAACTTGTGGGGGGGAAGTTATCCTTACAGCAAATCGAATACTCAATAGAGTGCCTCACACCAAGACACATGTTATTCCATATGAGAAATGGAAAGGTAGAAAACCCAACTTGAAATATTTCAAAGTGTGGGGGTGTCTAGCCACAGTCCAGGTTCCTATACCTAAGAGTGTGAAAATAGGACCTAAGACTGTGGATTGTGTATTCATTGGATATGCCACAAATAGTAATGCATGTCGATTTTTAGTTCATAAGTCTTAACATTCGGATATTTATGACAATACGGTAATGGAATCAGATAATGCTGAATTCTTTGAACATATATATCCGTATAAAACTAGACTTGAGTCATCTAGTGGGGGGTCTAAACGACCTCAAGAAGAACCAAAAAAGAATGTACCTAATGAAGAGAGTCCAAGGCGCGGTAAACGTTAACAGACAGCTACTTCATTTGGATCTGACTTTGTAACATTCCTTCTTGAAAGTGAGCCTCAAACTTTCAAGGAAGCTATGTTGTCTAGCGACTCAACCTCTTGGAAGGAGGCTATCAATAGTGAGATTGAATAAATCTTAAGCAATCATACTTAGGAGTTGGTTGATCTTCCTCCAGGAATCAAACCCTTGGGTTCGAAATGGATTTTCAAAAGGAAGATGAAAGATGATGGAACTATTGACAAATATAAAGCAAGACTTGTTGTCAAAGGCTTTAGACAGAAAGAAAGTCTTGATTATTTTGATACATACTCGCCAGTAACTAGGATTACATCAATTTGAATGTTAATTGCCCTAGCTGCGTTATACGATCGTGAAATCCATCAAATGGATATGAAAACCGCATTTTTAAATGGAGAGCTGGAAGAAGAGATTTACATGGAACAGCCTGAGGGTTTCATAGTTCCCGGTAAAAAAAAAGAAAATATGCAAACTTGTTAAGTCACTCTATGGACTAAAACAAGCATTGAAACAATGGCATGCAAAGTTTGATCAAACCATATTGGCAATGAGCAAGGACATTGTTAATATAAAAGCTACTAAGCGTATGCTCGCTAGTAAGTTTGATATGAAACATTTAGGAATTGCCGATTAGATATTGGGAATTACGATTCATAAAACTCCTAACGGTATAGCATTGTCTCAATCTCATTACATTCGGAAGATACTTGAAAAGTTCAAGTACTTGAGTTTCAAAAGGGCAAAGACCCCAATTGATGTGAACCTTAATCTTGCTAAGAATAAAAGTGAAAGTCAGTGTCAATTGGATTATGCCAGAGTATTGGGAAGTTTGATGTATGTCATGAAATGTACACGATCAGACATAGCCTGCACTATAAGTAAAATGAGTCGATACACAAGTAATCCCAATCAAAATCATTGGATGGCAATGAAGAGAATTTTAGGGTACTTAGATGACACTCAAAACCATGTTTTGCATTACAACAAATATCCAGCAGTTGTTGAAGGATATAATGATGCAAATTGGATTACAAGGTCAACTGAAACAAAATCCACAAGTGGATATGATTTCACTATTGGTGGAGGAGCAATACCTTGGAAATCATCCAAACAAACATGTATAGCTCGCTCTACAATGGAGTCTGAATTCATCGCCTTAGACAAGGTAGGTGAAGAAGTTGAATGGCTCTGAAATTTCTTAGAAGATATTTTGTTTTGGCCCAAACCAATGGCCCCTATATGCATACACTGCGATAGTCAAGCTACAATAGTAAGGGCTAGAAGTGTTATGTATAACGGAAAGTCTCATCACATACGATGAAGACATAACTCTATTAGACAACTACTCTTTAGTGGAATTATCACAATTGACTATGTAAAGTCAAAGAATAATGTGTCGGATCCACTTACAAAAGGCCTAACTAGAGAGGGAGTTGAGAGATCATCGACGGAAATGGGACTACGACCGAGATCAAGTTATCATGGCGGTAAATCTACCTAGAAGACTAGAGATCCCAAGATAGGTTCAAGGAGATCAAACAAAGTCATAGATGACGGTTCAACATTGTTAAAATTTATTTTATGGTCTATTCTCATAATGAGACAATGTTCAGTAATCAGGATAAAGGCATAAGAACTTTTTAATGATTTCTAAGTTTGATACAGGGTATATCAAATAGTGTATCTACGGGATAACACAGTTAGAAACCACTTATGTAAGTGTGAAGTGTAAGCCGCTTCAAGGAGAATCTGGTAAGGCCAGTTCTCTAAGCACTTATTAACTAAGACGTGTTCATGGCTGAAACGAACAAAACAATGAGAACCAAAAATAGTTCAAGGGTTGATTGTGTGGCTTATGTTGTCTAGGTATACACCAAAGCTCGATGGTTCAAATACATCAAATCTACCGATTGATCGAGTATATTCGATATATGTTTACTACGGAAAGTTTAAAGGGAAACCTACTTATCCAGATGTGATTAATCCTTACTTACGAGACACACAAGTTTTTCATGCATATGTTTTAACAATAGACACTCCCCATTCATGTGGGGGATTGTTGGGTTTTAGCAAGGTGCGAATGGGAAACAAGAAGAGAAAATGAAAAAAATGAGATTAC